CAGACCATCAATCATTAGGATGTGGATCGGCAAGAAAACGCGCCGGTGGACTTTATGGTAAATTCGCGCGATACCTCAGTTTCAGTAGGGCGAAGTGGAGAAAACGACGCCGTCATAAACGCGACCGTTACCTAGTAGTAGTAGTAGTAGTAGTAGTAGTTGTAGGAGGAGCAGAAGTAGGAGGAGGGGAGCAGTAGCAGTAGCAGTAGCAGTAGTAGGAGGAGGAGTAGTCGTGGTGGTGGTGAGGCAGTGGTAGTGGAAAGAAGGAAGAGGAGAGTACCATGACAAACAGTGCTGAAATGATAGCAGAAGCAACAATTATCAACAAGAACGAGAAATATTAGCGTCATCATGACCGTTGTTTGGGTATTCCTGCTGATTTTACTATTGTCATGGTGACTTGTACGATTATCGACTAGTGCTACACTGCTCATAGTACTGCTTTGATGATGGTTCAAACATATTGTAGCAGCAGCATCGGCGCCATAACTGTCACTGACATACCTCCAAAAAGTGCAGGGGCAGGTCCTGCCAACAGCTTTGAGCTCTTACATCTTTGCAGGCGATGATGGGAGCGACTAGGGGAGGACTATTCGTAAGAACATTTGCAGAATCACTTTTACCTGCGCTGTTCAGCTTCGCTACTCAAGTTACTCAAGTTCTTACCCTTTTTTCCCGAACCCTTCTTCTGAAGGTGTTGTCGGCGGCGCACGAGCGAGTCTGGTCCTCGGGCTCGAGTTTCTCAAAAGTCTTACGTGATCCATCCACGTGAGGGTAGTCGTTCCCTGTATCCCAAACATCTAAAGGCTTCTCTCATGTTCAGAAACCCCAATTTTGAAAAGAAGAACTCTACACGAATATCACTTTTTTTCAGTAGGGTTTGGAGGTGCCGTAACAAGAAGCCCCTCTGCCTTTTTACACATGCCTTTGACAACCCTGATGTGATTTCTTGTAGAACGCCAAGAGAAATTCTCTCTTTCCCTTCATGACGCATATTGCTTTTAGCGCCCAAGTATGTCATGATACTTTGCCAATGGTTTCTCCAGGCAAAGTTCAAATAATCTCACACTTTGAGACGCATAGAGGATCTTCACCATTTTTTAAGCATCCAAGGCGGAGGATGCCGAGGCTGCTGCCATGAGGTTTTCACGAGAATAGTCGCTGTCGTCATGAAGTACGTGTTGCAAGAACAATACTTGGCACTTGTGGTAGTGGTAGTGGTGGTGGTGGTGGTGGTGGGTGGTGGTAGCGGCATTGGTAGTCATCGTGATTAGCCTTATAACCTACTGGGGGAGCCACATTCTGTAGATCCCAAGATAATTAAAACCTGAAAACAACCTGAAACACACCTGAAAAAAACCTGATTCCCAAACCTGTTTAAAAAAAGGAAAACATGTGGTGGACTCCGACGCACATACCCAAAGCATTTTCTGGACTCTAAAGCAAATACCCAAACCATGTTGTGGACTCCACCCCTCAGTTGGGCACCCACCAGTTGGGCACCCCTCAGTTGGGGATGGGAGTGGGGGCCGGCGGCCCGGCGCCTGGCTGTGAGGCCCGCCTGCAGCCCGGCCCATGCCCCCCAGCCCCGGCCCCCCCGGCCCCTGCGCCCGCGCGTCCCCGCACGCAGCTTTTTTCAGCTTTTTTTCAGCTTTTTTTCAGGTTGTTTTCAGGTTTTTTCAGGTTTTTTTCAGGTTGTTTTCAGGTTGTTTTCAGGTTTTTTCAGTTTCTAATGGAAAAATTGAAAAAACCTGAAACAAACCTGAAAAAACCCTAAAAAAACCTGAAAAAACCTGAAAACAACCTGAACAAAATCTGAAAAAAAGCTGAAAAAAAGCTGTGTGCGGGGACGCGCGGGCGCGGGGGCCGGGCGGGTGCGGCCGGGGGGCTGGGGGAAAAGCAGCGTCAGGCGGGCCGGGAACCCCGGCCCCCACTCCCATCCTCAACTGAGAATTGCCCTCTCTAGCTGCTCCAACCCCATTGCCGCTGGGCCAAGGGCCTGTGGGGCCTGTAGCCTATCCTCCTGCAAGCCCACCAGCTGCAGGATTTGTTCAGGTTTTTTCCAGCTTTGCAAGTCAGCTTGATTTCAGGTTATTTTCAGGATTATTAATATTTTGATGGTTTACAGTGGCTAGCCTGACGGTGGGTTATAAGATTAGCCGATGCCGATGACTGTGAAGAGAAAAAAGGATAGAGGGGTGGAAGTCGATTTTGGACCTCTTCAAGAAAAAACTCATAGTAACTTTTGATTTGCTGACATATTTGTTCGCCATCCCAGTGCCAGGATGGCAAAGGCGACAGCCCGGACCTGAACCTAGCGGATGCATTGGCGGAGCAAGGCGCCTTGCTGAGCCGACTAGCGGGCTCCCTGTTTATAATCACACTTTGTCTGCTCGTTGTGTTTCCAGCACAGTGCATTTTTGAAAGCATCACAGCCATAGTAGAATGGTGATAAGAGGCTTTGAACGGCAGATGTTGCTAGATGAAAGTGGAGCCTGAGCCTGAAAAAAGAACCGCAGGCTGGCCTCCAGCAGCCACAGCCATTGACCAAGCCGTCGAGTTCTGGGTCGTTGACTTTGAATACGGGGAGAGTGTCCTTCTCAGCACTGCAAAGACTCAGCCACTGCTCGTGTTCCGCCGTAGTGTTCAGTAGTTTGGCTCTGCAAATTTTCTTGGAGTTTGGTGCTCCAGTGTATGGTTTTCACATGGATTTCTCAGACCCTGAACAGGGACGGTAGCGGTCTAAGGATAGTTGCAAGGGTGGGTGCTAGTGGCAAGCGCTAGAAAGACTTTCGGTGTAATCCCTATTTTGGCCATGGCATTGTAGTGAACGGAGGGCTTTCCTTCAACTGTTCGACGACGTTGGAGCACAACATCCTGCAAGTGTCCTGGTGCCGACCTGGTAAGCTGAGGTCCGCGCAGAGTTTCAGTCAAGCACAATGTCCATGAGGAGTGCACCTGGGAGGACTTTGGCTGTGGCCTCAAAGGACTTGTTCCGAGCGCTTTCGCATTTTGCAGTCTGCTTCCTCGCTGAGGCGAGGAGACATATTTTGTGGACGACCCGCGAGGTTTCGCCACCATTGCGCCCGCAGTGCCAGGACAGGTGGCGCGCTTCATTGATTTATGGAATTTGTGTAACTACGCGCCTGGGGGAGACATCGTGCCTGAGCCTGTGCTCCAGCAGCATTTTGCTCCAGCGTTTGCATGTTCAGCTGCCAGAACCGCCATGTACTGGCAATGCATAAGCAGCATTCTGTGAAAGCAGTACTGTAATAGGCCAACATAAAGCTCCCATGCCTAATTCTCCTTCTAGCGTGCATCTTGTTCCATTTTTACCATGTATGCTTTGGCTCGCAGACGTCTCAGCCGAGCCATAGGCCTTTTTAAGCACCCCTTCATCGTAGGCAAGCTTGCCCATGCTCCGGTTAAGCTTCGGCAGCGTTTACTGTCTGCCCTGGCGGTGCCTCTGGGGTCGGGCGGCCACCTTTCCGGCAGGATCTGATAGAGGCGTGCAGCGGCAGGACTAGAAAAATCTGAAAAAATAGGGAATACTATTACATGGACATTTTTTGTAATTTTAGTATTTCTGGTATAGGTCCTCCCGAACTCTTTGATAGATGTTCAAATTTTTATGCTAACTTATACCGCTGGTGCGCAGCCACGGTTCTTTTCAAAAGGCCTAGCTGAATTGTGCTGGTCAGTCCAAGCAGTTGCAACGTAAAAAAAACATCGCTGGAGTCTCCACTTTTTTTCACGTCTCTGGCCATACCAACATTGACACACAACTCATTTTCCGCTGGCTGTAGTTATGAGACATTGTTTGTCCCGTGAAGGTGTCGAAGCGTTGCGCAGACTGGCGCGCTCGCCGAAAGCGGTAGCTGAATGTGTCCTGATTGCACCGGTGTTTAGGGCTACGCCTTTATGTGGAAGTCCCTGCAAAGACGTCAGTTTCTTTGCAAGAATGCCTACTTTCCACAAATTGGGGCCCTGATACAGACCCCAACATGATAAGATCCTTCCTGTAGGGTTCCCCAAAAACGCGTCCCTCTTTTTTGAACACCACCATTTGTTTGTGCATTGCTTAGATCCATGTACATCCAATTGCTGAACCCCGGTTCGTGCTTTGCCTGTGATTAGCCATATGGTCTTTTCATCCTTTTCATGCATTGATTCAACCAATCTTTTGTCAACACGGAAGTACTATTAGGGCATTTTGAGTCTTGTGTTTGTCATGGTCAGTAGTCTCTGCAAGAGCGTTTGATCCAAGGCTTTGCTACAACGGAGCACAGCCCGGAGGGGGAGAGCTTGCTGCGCTTCTTGGCTGCGGAGGCTGGGCGAAGGATCTGCGGGGCATAGCGTGTTTTGAGATGAGGATTGAGCGGGGCAACTATCATTGGCATACTTAAATGCAGGGGTCCATTATACTTGGCAGCCAGGGCACTGTTGACATAGGATCAAATCCAAGCAGGAATTTGTGGCCTTGTGCACCCCTGCAGGTGGTGTCAGGACTGTCCACTTTTCAGCCTGGAACTGGCGCAGCAGGGTCTGGCTACTCACGCGCTGTAAGACATGACCCGACGGGCAGGCGGGCCAGCGTTGAATGTTGGCGGGAGCACTAACGTAGGGTTATTAGATCTCAAAGCAATCCAGTTCAGGGGCTGCTGGGATGAGATTCAAGTCCTGGACTTGTCTGAAGTTTAGTGCCATTTGGTGTGAGGCTCGCAGCCTTCCTTGAGGAGGAGATTTTGGCCCGGTCCTCCACGCTCACTCCACGAGCAATTTGCAATCTTAGCAGCATGCTCTATGGTTCTGGTGCCGATCTCCAGTACCGTAAAGCAGCGCAGCAGCTGCATGAAATTGCCATGACGAAGATTCATGACTTCTTGGCCCCGGAGCTTGTGGATTTGGCTTCCGGACTGGCAAGCTGTGGCGAGATGAAATCAGAGTGCTTGCAGAAGCTGCGGGATAGCATGGATGCTCGCTGTGTGGAACTGGATGCCTCTTTACCAGAAAACCGCCCTGGCGAGCAGGCGAGAGCGGTGAGCCATGCTTGCTCTTCAGTACCAGTTGTGCTGGCGGATTTCCAAACTACCTTTGCGCTCTCAAAGCCACCGGGCTGGTCCTGCGCCACCTCCAAGCATAATTCCACAGACGTCCGCAGACCTCTCATAACTACCTTCCTGCGCGGTCTGGATCCAAAGAGGGCTGTTTCGCAAGACGCCTCTGTTGACCACGGCCTGGCACACCGCCTAGACATTGAGACCAGTGGTGCCCTGCTTGCAGCGAAGACTTTCCAGGGCTATTGGCGACTGCGCCTGGAGTTTGCTGCACAGGAAGTGGAGCGTCCTTACTTGGCTTTGGTCCACGGGGATTTATCGAAGGAGTGGAAGAATCTCAGCTTACCGCTTCAGCTGCAACGTGTGCCGCTTCCAAATACCCGGTCGGTTCGGTCCGTGTCAGTGGTCAGCCATGACTCCGGAAGGTGAGGAGAGGATTGCAGACCCTCAAGCCTGGTGCCAGTGATGATGTGTGATGTCTTGCAGGTCGGCCCTAACTCGAATTCGGGCACTCGCACACCTTCGTCGCAGAACAGGCCGGGCAGAAGCTTGAGCCAGGCTTGTAGTTGACACCTGTGCCCAATGGTGCCCCGTGTGCAGGAGGTCTGATGTCCTTGCTGCTCGCGCAGCCACGCACTGGGCGCACCCATCAAATTCGCAGTCATGTCGCGCACATCGGACACCCAATCGACCCTTGGCTTTGTCTGGATTGGCGTCTGCAATATGGTATTGTTTCAGGCCTCTTCGGACCCTCTGACCTGTGAAAAGGTTGGTGACGAGCTCTATGGCGCGGAAGCAAAAGCTCATGATGATTTGCCAAGGGTGCTTCACTTGGTCAGTGTAGCTGCCATTCTGTCTGATCTCACATGGAACCCTTTGAGAGGGTAGAGGTTCGCTTGTGGCTTCTCCGGGGGTTCGCTTGTGACTTCTCAATTTGTCTCGCTTGTGACTTCTTGTTTTTTGTCGTCGCG